TACCAGGCAATGGCTAAGAAATGAACCAGAATGGTTCAGAAAATACTGGTAGAAATTGCAAAACTATATTTAACATAACCACATGTGACAGTTGATATTGGACACTTGTCATTAATATGGAATGATGTATTTTAAAAATTAGGAAGTTGTTGAGAACGGGGCAGCTGTTACACCCTTCAAGTGTCATTGACCTTTCCACAAAATGGCTATTTAAAAGAAACAAACAAAAAAACTAAACTAAACCAACAAACAGGGACTCATCCTGGAGCGTCAGGTTGAAAAAGTGGAAAAACAAACCCAAACGAAAAACTGGAACTGGTGACCTGGGACCAAATCTATACCTCTTAGCTTTTGCAAAAAGACGGGACTTTCACTGATTTGTTTAGATGCCTTGAACCTAATTTGCTCAATCTTTCTGTGATGTCTTTCCCATACCATATCCACATATTATTATAATTTTTTAATTATTATAAAAAATGTTGGTTGTATCTAAATATATTACTGTTTGTGAATGTATTTTCATCTGTGTGTATAATTGTGACCTTGTATGGATTAGAGAAAATCCCCTAAAGATGAACATTTCCTAATTCTCTTTTTTTTTTAAAGTATTAAAGTTAAGCATAAAGAAAGAACAACTTGAATGTATGTAAACTTTTGACCAAACACTGTGCCGTGGTGCCACCTCTCTCTCACTGTCAGTGGGTGCTGCCGCTTTTGTATGAATGCAATTCCAAAAACTGTCAAGCTGTTCCATTAAGGGTCAAAATAGTAATTAGTTGCACAAAGTAATTAATTCAACCTGAGCGACAGCTTACGTCCCAGAAAGGACATGCAGATGTGAGGAATCAGGGTGGAGTGAGATCCTTATGTGTGAAATCGTGATGAACAGTCTGTGTGAGTGGGTTAGGTTAATGACAGCAGGGGGATGAGTTGCTGGAGAAATACATGGCTGCGGTCTCTTGTGTTCGTCTCAGTGAGCTGGTGTAAATAAGTACACAAGCATCTGTAAACAATAGTTGCACAGGTTTTCTATCAAACAAACACAGATGTTTAAAAGTGGGCCCCAGAGATGGGACAAGTAAGGGCTCCTGAATCCTAGCTTTACTTCCTTTTTTTTTTTTGTCCTTTTTTTTATTTATTTTTGTTAGTTGACACATGCTGTGTGTGTTTATGTAAGGGCAAAGCTCGCAGGAAGGAGACAAAGATAGTGAGAGCAGAGAGTGTGAGGACACCAATCACCCTGTAATTATCCCCCTGGTGTGTAAACTGCCCAACTCTCTGTCCTTGATAGATTCACCTGACCCAATAACACAACACACAGCCACAACGGACTGCAGGCGGAATACGGACAACATCGTAGATCAGCCGGGGATCAGCGGTGAGACAAAGACCTAACATCTGGGAGCTGTGGTAAAATTAAAGGACCAGAGAACAAACCAATCCTGCTGCAGCTTTATGCTAATAACCTGGAAGCTGCCTTTGGAAAAACTGAAGTAACACAGGACTCAATATGATTTGATATTAAAGAAACACCCGTCGGCATCGCAATCCTTCTTACTTGTTCGGGGTTCCTCTGCCGCTCACATCAGTCTGTTCACCTCAGAGTGATGCATTAAGCCATTTAAATTAACAATGGAACAGCTTATTCTAATACGCCCGTCCCAAGGAGGGCCTTGGATGTTTGCTGGAGTGGGACATCAACCCCTGCCTCTGTCCTCGGGCGGGGCAGTGATGCATTTCGCTTCTTCTAAATAGCCAAAACAATCTGGTCCAGTCCTCCATCCAAAAGGCAAACATTCGCATTATGGTGCGGAGAGGCTGAATAACACCACTGAGCCTGTCATTACTGGACACAGAGACATCATCTCCCCCGACACGAGTAAAATACACGTCGTATCCAGGGTGGAGGGACAGAGGCAAACAAGCAGTAAATACACCAAAGTACTGTGAAGAAAATGACTTCTTTCTCCTATTTTTGAGGCAGCCAACCGTCCACTTGAGTTTTTTATACGAACTTCAGCAGCGGCGAACGTGACTACATTTGACATATAGATGTCTAAATCATTCATAGTGAGGCCATGGTCAGCTGAATACAAATGAGGATACAGTGGGTGCTCCGTCTGTCCCTGAGGGGCTGCGCAGGAATAGATCTGAGAAAAGCACAGTTTGATTGATGCTGCCACACTCTGAATAATCGTCGTATCAGAGGTCAAACCACTTCAGTGCCATGCATTATATCATTAATTACAGACATCAAAAGAAAACAATAGGACCATGTCCATATGTTTCAAGTGTGCTTATTCCTCCTCTCTTCCACCCACTGAGTCGTTTTACAATTACTGCAGCTCATCAACCTTAGAAATGCAGGGAAAAAGAGGCGCCCGCAAGATCCTGAATGCATTCTCAGAACATCGCACTAGGAATATGTGGTAGTAATTACACGTGATGAGAGAAGCACATTTGGTTCTCACAGTTACATATGCAATTAAAATATTATTCATTACCTCTTAAATAAAAGCCCGATCCTGAAATCCCATTAAATTTGGGATAATTGTGTGTGTTTAATTATAAGCTGTGGTGCAGCGGAAGAAAGGAAGGAGGGAAGTTTCGGAGAAAGTAGCAGAATGCGCTGTGACCCAGATAGAGAGGGAGACATTTTGTTTTAAAAGTGACCTTGCTGTGAAACGTCAGCTCAGAATAGCTCAGAGTGCAACAGCCTCGCCGCTTCTTCTGCTCTGCTTAAACCGAGTTGCACATGGTGAACAGGCAGGGTTTGCAAATCCATATATGACTGCTGCAGGACCTTCCACTATCACGCTGCACTTCTTTAGTTTGGCGTATCTTTTACAGTTTGAAGAGCTTTGAGTAGTCAGATGCTGGACTTGTTAAGTGGCAGCCTCATCAGGGTACGGAGGAAGCCATCAGATGTCGGATGTAAAGCAGGCGTAACGGCGCATTACCACAAATGACCTCTGCCATTTAAAAAAAAATAAAAATGATATTCTCACATTATGTAAATTGATAATTCTTGGCCTTTGTATTTTTGTTTGGCTGCTTTGTTCCACATGGTCAATATCTTAAAAGAAATGTTGGAAATCAAAGCTTAAGCCCAAATGTCACTTTAAAAGGGACTGTCGTGATGATGGCTGACCCATATTTGATGAGGAAACCTTGTTGGTCCAAGTTTGATGTTGTCACTCATTAAGTTTATGTAGTGAAAAATTAGAACAAAATTCATATCAAGGCACTTTGTCAGACAAATGAGTTTAATTGACGTCCATTTATGCAGAGCTGCAACACGTTTTTGCTCTCTTATAGATTTCTTTAGATTTTGTTACCACCAAATATATCAAGGGAAAAAGGCTTTTCAAACCAAACTTGACATATGTGAAAATATCTTTTGTGTGTTTTTCCTTCAGTTTGCCACCTGACCTATTGAATCAAGAAATCATTTGAACAGAACCCGATCTGACAACAAGAAGCAAGCTTAGCCAATTTATAAGAGCAAGACATAATATCCACAGCTTAAAAACTTCAAGAACAGAAGAAAAAGAGGTCATTGACATCTATTTGACATTTCTAAGGCTTTTTGACTCCAGCCAACCACATATAGAAGAATTATTCACAAATGGTACCAGGAGCAAATCAGCGACCAATGCAGACACAGAAGAACCCAGAACATCATTGTTTAGGTTTTATCAACTGGAAAGGAACAACAATGAGAAAAGTCTCCGCTAACCAAAACACACACACACACACACACACACACACACACACACAAAAGTCCTGATGAACTATTTATCTGGACTCAAGAGAAAAAGTTGGAATCACAACAGCTGGTGTAAAACTAGCACAGCTATGCTAGTTTTTGTAAATCAAATCAAGCAGTGTGTTGCTGCTTTCCTATTAGACAGGCAAACTGTCATTAAGTGTTTATGGTTACTTTTCTGTGTCGTCATGTTTTCTATTATAGTTATTCACCACCTGATGATGCCTGTGTTATTGTTTTGCCAGCTGGTGTTTTGTCATTTTCTCCACTTACCTTCCTCAGGTGCCCTTCAGATCATCTCTTCCTTCACAGCTGTGGCCTGTTTGTTATCAGTCAGCATTTATCCTCCAGGTTTCTATTCACCCTATTGACCTGTTACTAGCCGTCAAGCCAGTATGTCTCCAGATGCTCTTCTTCTGTGGTGCTTCCAGCTCATTTGTTGTGAGTTCTTTGAATTTTCAGTAAAAGCTCTGGTATGCAACCGTCCTGTCTGCATCACGCCTGCATTTGGGTCAATCTGGTAACTTCAGTCTGATAATTTCCTAATCTTTATGGGTTCTCTAGTGAGACAGTATCCATAAAAACATTACACATCTTTAGAGATTGCATTTTGTTTGACTTTTTTAGTTATGCCTGTTGGTTTGCTACTTTATCATGGACATACATTTTGTTTTACATTCAACATGCAACATAGGATTAAACTTAAAAGAAAAAAAATGACAAACTGAAACTTGACAGAGAATATTTTCATCTACTAGACATGGTTTTGTTATTGGTATCGTGGTTATACAAAGGTTTTATCGGTTTGCTTCAAAATCATTAAAATTCCTCTTCATACTCTCTCTACAGATCGTAGTCCTTGAAAAGCCAAAAAAAGTGTCAAAAATTTTCTCAAGTTGTATGGAGAATAGAGCGGTGGTCTCCTTCTTCCAATTGTTGTTGAACACTGCCTGTCAGCAAGCTTTCCATCTCTTATCAAAAAACAAATTGGCTCATTCTTTCAGTGAAAACTAAAGAAGCACCACTTGTCACTACTGTTAGGCTAAAGTTATTTAAAGCTACAATTTATCTGATAAGCAGGTAAACACTAGGTTTTCTACTGCAGCAAAAAACAAAACAAAAAAAAAAACAGTCCCACTGCAAAAAAAAAAAAAAAAAAAGTAAAATTCAGTGTTTATTTAATGTTATTTAGTTTGGGAGTTGAAGATGCAATTTTTACCAATGATCAGATAGAGGCTACAAATATTTTATACAATGTCTTCTCTGCTCAGCTGAATAGCCTCAAGATGATTTGGGATGAGATCAAAGTGCTACTGTTTTTCCTGATGGCTTTAAGATTTTAAAGGATCACCGATTTTTCCACTAGTGTTGGAAAAGAAGATGCGTTCAATAGAGGCGCTTCGGTAATCTTTTGATGGTGCACCACTTGGCAGAAAGCCAGGATATATCTGATGTTCTTTGACGTCAGCTTTCCTTCTCCAAACATGATACCTGGACCATTCTGAGAAAGATTTGAACAAAGTTAAGGTTTGTCAAATGTGGCATCTCTATGCATGACTAAGGTACCAACAACGCGATCCAAGAAAGATGCCAGCAGCAACCAGCTGTTGATGCACAAAATGTAGTGGCAGCAGCTACCTGCACACTGACGGGTCCAACAAACCAGAAAGGACAAAGAAGAAGGATAACTTGAAGTGAAGAAACACCGTTGGCAGTGGGACCCACAGCGAAATACTAGCTGGCGTAGAAAACCTTCCAATCCAGTCACCAGTTAGGGACCACAGAAAGGCAATATTTGCTTGCTATCTTACCAAAGGAGTCAGTTGTTGCCATAATGTTTTAAATTAAATCTATTAGATAATGTCTTTTTCTTTTTTTTTTTCCATTTTATTATTTTTTTTTTTCAGAAATGCCTTTAAACTGTGGTGTTTTACTCGAGGCCGTCACATCACGAGACTCAGCCCAGTCCTAATAAGCACACGGCTTTCTGTAATCAAGCTGTCTGTCACACTTGCACATAAGTAAAAATTTCAGTGCAGAATTTCACTTGCAGTTGAGAAAACTCTAGAGATCTAAATCCATCTCCCACTCAGAAAGTTATTTATTCCTCGTAGATTTTTCTCCACACTCTTTTTGCTGCCTGTATAAGTGTAAGCTGATGCACAGGGTGTGTGTTGGCCCGGCCTGGCGTCTCCTGCTGGCTCCCTCGGAGCTGCTTGGCTCGGCCCGGTGGCTTCAACCTGCAGGCAGCCATAGGACAGCCCAAGCGGAGCTGTCTGCCACTCCTGTGCTTCATTAGGAAACAAAATATAAGGTTTCCACTCCATTAGGAATGACTTTAGGAGTGAAAGCACATAAGACGCCGACTCACCTCATCAACAATGCATTGCAATAACGGCTGAGGATGAATGAGAGCGAGCAGAGAGGGGAAAGGGAGAGAGAGGAAGGAGAAGGAAAAAAAAACAGCATTAGCCTGTATGCGATGTCTTTACAACAGAGTGGAAGGGAGAAAAAAAAATCATTAATGCAATAAAATGTGGTCAGATTAATCAAATGCCTCAAACTCTTATGAAAATATTACAGGGGGAGAATTTTCTATTACATCTAATGGTATCTAATTTAATACTGGCAGTTAAAGGCTTGGGCATCTATTTATTGTGAAACACAATTTAGGAAGTTTAAAGGGAAGCAGTGAAGCATGTGTGCAGCATAGCCGTCAGGGCCATAGGTAGAGATTTTTTCTCCTATTTTCTCTCGACCAACTCATAAAAGCTTATCGTTAAAGACTGTGGGTTGCTTTGACTTCCCTTTTATTTTTTGTGGTGGGGGCAATATGTAATTAGTGTGTCATAATCAAAATGACCCACTCGGCCACTTTATGTTCAGCAAGACAGAATGACTGCACCAGTGGTGGCAATCTGTGGGCATGTGCTAACACAACATTAGCATAATGAAAATATACAAATGCTAATAGCCAGTCCTCTTCGCATGGACAAGGAGCTGGAGAATGTGGGCAAACATTGAGATACATACAACGGTTCTGTAAATGGCTTGAAAGAAGAGGAAGAGAGAGAGAGAGAGAGAGAGAGAGAGAGAGAGAGAAAAGTGTTTTTTGTGTCTTAAAAACAATCTGGGAAAAGTGTCATTCCTCCTCGTCGCACGTCTTCTGTGAGGGACTCTGCAGAAGATCTTATTTTCAATTAAAACCTCATTTGCTTGTAAGTTCAGATGAAATCATGTTGTGAATTAGCACATGAATTTACATACTGGGATGCCTGCCAGTGTGCAAGGGGAGGCTAATTTACCTTTAAGATTGATTTTTTTCTTCTTCTTCTTTTTCTTCTTCTTCTTTCTAGAAAGGATTTCAGTGATGGCGTGGGAGCAATGATGCATACGTGAGATCTGAGAAAACATTTACCAAAAACCCAGTGGCAACAAAGGGAGCCGAACTGGGGAGATGTCTGAGAGCTTTTCTTACTGATGGAAAGAGTTTCTGTAAAGTTAGAACAAGGAAAAGAAAAGAAAAAAAAACACTTTTAAAACCCTCACAAGGACACAAGTGTTGAAGCCATTGACAGCAAGTGATTTTTTTTGGTAATGGCTTTAACAAAATGGATCACTTCAAATTAGGAAGGACATGTTGAAACTATTCATTCTTGATTTAAAAAAATATTCACACATTTCAAAAAAGGCGTTAAGCAACAAAGAAGCCGCAAGCGAGCTTGTCATCATCGAGAGACAAATTGTTCCCGGTACTTTTTAGCCATAATTTAAAAAAAAAAAAACCCCTTCTAATTAATAGAAAGTGCCGGTCTTCATGGGTTTTTAAAAAGTTTTTGAGGCTCTCCACCTGCATTAAGCCACTCGTGATGTTCGAGAACGAAAACATTTTCAATCAGCAGTCCGTCTGGCTGCAGATTGTCCACATTAAATCACTTGCTCATTTCGTAAGGCCTTGTCCGACAAAAGCGCCGCAGCTGTTATTGATTCATCCTCTCAATTAAATAAAGCTTTGCTCCCTCCACACCTTGTAAATACCCAGAGACCCCCCATCCTGCACAATATCCATTCTCCTTACGCCGCTCGTGCTATCAGTCTGCACGGAAAATTAATTCCCCCCACTGCCGCCGAAATAACTATAATTGCAAACTACACAGAGAGAGAAATTGGAAAGTGAGGTTTTAATATACATTTCCAGGTGTATTCTCCATTTGTTCAAGTCAATAACATTTTTTCATTAACATTTGTAATAATGAAAAAAAAAGAGGAGTTCTGTCCCCTGTTCATTTTCTTTTTAATTCAGACATGAATTCACTCATTGCTAACTGTTATGAGCTGCACTTTCTCATCCAATTTGTGTTAAGTCCTCCAAATGAGATTATTGCTGGCTATCAACTATAAAACATTTTCAATTTACATATTTATCAGATGAATGAGTCACATCTCACAATAAGTGATTGAGTGCTGATGCCACACTTTAATATAATAGAAATCCAGTTGGATGAATAAATAGGTAACTGTGTGAGTGCGGGTTGTTTTAGATACTGGAGTTTTGTGGGTTCCTTGTACATTCTTGTGGAAAAGATATTTTTTCCTGTCTGAATAGAGCAGACCAGGAGTAAATGTACAGATGAAATGCCCACACTTCTCCTCTTTTGCCCTGATTGATGCCCAGCTGACTTTCAAACAAGTTTGAAGCAATTTGCAGGAATCCACTCTGCTTCTCTGTGGTGGAGTCATGAAAGTTTTGCACACAGATTTAACCCTGACCCACAACATGACATGCCAGTGATACATATTTAATTCCAATATTTTTCCATCTTTGCTCAAAAATAAACATCCTTAAATTCCAAAATCAAGCCAATCCAACTGTAACGGTGCTTTTCCTAACTTTAAATCCCAATCCAGACAAAATAAGATGAGATTCCTATTATAAAACTCCAACTAGAAATTCTATCTTTATTTCAAGATACATAACACTTATAAGCTGGGCTGAACGTTTGTGTCTCCGTTTATTATTTTGCTGTAGTGGCGTATGAATTAACTGTTGACATAATCATAAAAATACTTAAAATCTAATGGGTAATTTAATTCAGTTGCATTTTATTATCTGAAAATTTAGTAAAACACTCTTTAATCTTTGATTGATATTCTTGTTTGGGCTGGTTGACCCTTCACCTCCAGATGGTGCATCTTATTGAAACTATATAATGTCAGTTCCTTACAGTGAGCGATCTTTACTAGCAGGTATAATTTAGAGCAGGATCAGTACAAAATGTTCAACAATAAATGGCACCTTTCACTACACAAAGTCATTCTGCCCTGGGCACAGAGCCATATCACTCATTTCAAAAACTGACACTGGCTGCTTTGAAGCTACAGTTGGCTTTAGCTACAAGGGACTGGCTATTAAGCAGAATATGTATCAAAATCAAAATACAAATAAACAGCACTAGCAATTATATATTTTTTTTTACAAATTTGTCTAATAATAATCTTGACATGTATTTTTTAAGTCTTATCTCTATTCTCACGCAAGTATTTGAGAAGCATGTAGTCCAATCAAAGACGAGAAAGAAAGGAGGGGAAAAAAATGAGCTAACGCAACAGACTTAATCAACCAGAAAGCTCTTTGCTAGCGGCTGCATACACATTAGGCCACATCTTCAAGATTTTTCAGAGCAAACCGTGGAGCAAAACTCCATTACCTCCTGACACAAAATGCAAATGAATCACAACATGGGGTGGGAAGGAATTAAAGACCCTTCTCTAATCAATGACAAACCAGGATGAAACCCTCTCTTCCGTGGATCTGCCATAGGCGAACTCCAAGGCCCCTGAAAACACACACACACACACACACACACACACACACACACACACACACACGCACGCACGCACGCACGCACACACACGCAAACAGACTGACAGACGCGATGCACATTTTGGCATAGACATCGGCTGGTGGGAGATTCTCATGGCACATATAAATATAAAATAAGGCTGTGGTTTAATAGTCATGATAAGTTTAATACCAAATTTATTATTTTTCTTATGAAACAAAGACAAAAAAAATTATTGCATAAATTTACTTGCTAAATTTAGTAGTTTGCTGTTTATAAAGTAAGAATGAGAATACAACAAGTTGATGTTAGCTAATCAATCGGGCTATCTGTTCAGCTACAGCAAAAGAGTGATTTAATTTCTGAGCCATGAAAGCTTTACCTGCCCTTGAAAACAAGTTTCACTTCCGAAAAAATCGTACAAATTTCTTTTTGTTGTGAGTGAGATAAAAGTGTATAGTGGCCATCGTTAAGCCAGCTGACAAACAGTGTGCAGCAAAGGATCAGGGAAGAGGCATCTGGATCTACTTGGGGCTTCGTACAGTTGGAGAAAACTCTGACGCTTTATGTTGTGTCTTACAAAAAGGACTTTAGTAACTTTATAACCTCAGTATCAAACATTTCTAATAGCTTTTTCTTAAAAACTTGCTATATCAACGAAGAAAATCCATGGAAAAATTGGGCCAATGTTTGTTTTTAGAGTGCATAAAGACATCTGATCGTTACATGACTGCAAAAGCCTAATGTAGCAATTACGATACAAGAACATTTAGAAGATAAAGCAGTGCCTTTTTTGTTTTCTTAAAAGCATCAAATAGACAAAATTCTAAAAAAAAAAAAAAAAATCAAAGAATTGTGTCGATTTTATCCTGTGTCAGGCTGTAAAAGGATATTTAGGAATCTGATTAAATTGGACGAGGAGCGTCGGATCCAGTAAGAACTCTCTCTGTTCTGCTGTGCTCTCTTCTGCTCAGACAGATGCACGGGCCTGCGTAAATGACAGCCTGAGCCCGAGGACGTCTTCTGGCTGCCACGCGGCCTGCTACAGCCTGCCACAGCCTGCAGGTGAAGTGTCTGCGGCGCCATATGGAGCGGGGAAAATTAACAACGAGAGGAAATTCTCCACAACAGCGGGAGGTCTCGCTAGTCTCTCCTCCAAACAAAATTTAGAGACGTAGAGAAACAAGAGAGGGGGAGTGATAAAATTAATGGGGTTCGACGTTCTAACACAACACCGACGGCAATGTTTGCACAGAAAAACAAGAATTCCCCTTACAGTTTAGTCACATTGCACTCCTGCATTATAAATCAGCGACTGGCTGAAGCAGTTTGACCCATTCTATAAATGTACATTAACCCTGCTGGCGCTTCTTCCTCCGGTTCTTGTTTGCTTCGGTTAGGGCAGGTGAGTCGACTCCATCCCCGGTGGCTTCTTATGCTCTCTGCCATCATAGCAGAGGTGCCCCCCCATAGAGCCTCACTTGGTTTGGGTCATTGATTACAAAGAGCCTCCTGGTTTTGTCTGACAGATGTGAATCCATGCTATTTAATTTGGAGAGTTACCCTCAAAGGGACCACCATTAGCCATCCAATCTGACCACAAATAGCGTTCCATTAAGCAGAGAGTTTGAGAAGCTCTGGTGGTGCATCTCCTGACAGCGTGCAGGGAGCCTCGGCGTGTAACGCAGAATGTTAAGTGCTCGGTTGTTTAAACAAAAGGGAGATTTTACTTTAAGGAACGTCTTTTGTTTTAGAGTTGCATAAAGAGTCGCCTCAGCGGGATTCTTCAGGCATATTAGAGCTGAAACTGTCCTTGTTTAGTGTCTAAAGAGGGTGGGGTTGGTAGTTAAAATGTTAATAAGTGCAATTCAGTTTTAATTTAACAGCCTTCTGCATTCCTAATTAGTCCACTAGCTGTGAATAAATGAGGAAGAGAGCTCATCTCTTGCCCTCCACTTTCAGCACAAAACACATTTTTGCCACTTCCGATACGGAGCTGAAGTGAACTGCCGGGAAAGTCCTCTCCTCATGAACAAAGCAGCATGGCTCAGTTTGCGATTTGAGCTATTATTTTCTCACCAGGTAGAGACACTGAAACCTTTGATGGGACAATTTACAAGCAAAGTCATAAAAAAACACAAGTAAAGCATAACAGAAAAAATGTCAAAAATTGTGCAATGTTTTTTTTTTTTTTTTAAACATTCAACTATAGTCTCTCTGTAGAAGTGTGCATAAATTACTTTATGTAATCATACAATGTAGATTAGCATGATAATGGTGGATGTTAATAGATGCCAGGAAGCAAGGAGTGACAGCACTTTGAATGAGACATGCTTGGGGCAGTGGGTTCTCTCGCTCTCTTCTCACACACACACGCGCACACACACACTCGTGCAAACACACCACGTTTGGGAATAGCCAACGAGGCTCTCGTGCCATTACGGCAAATGTGAGTGACGGGGAAGAAAGCCACGTCTAGCTGGCTGCCTGAAGGGGTGCTTCAGTATTTTCCATGAGTCTATAGGCTCTTGGTCTCCTGGGGGGCTGCATTAATTGTGAGCAAAATGGTCCACCATTAGATCTAAAGGTTTTAGGGACCAGAAGACATCTTACCCCGGCCACCGGGGCCAGATTCAAAAAGATTT